GGCCCTTCGGGACGTCGCGGGGCCCCACGCGCGGGTGGGTGCGGCAGCCAGGGCCGGTGACCGGCCGGTTGGGGGCCGTGGGGAGCCCGGCAGCGGGAGAAGGAGCCGGAGCCCGGCCGGGATGACAGGCTGACTCCTCCGGGGGGCGCCACTCGCTTCGCGGGAAGATGCTCGCCTACTGCGTGCAGGAGGCCACCGTGGTGGACGTGGAGAAGCGCAGGAACCCCTCCAAGCACTATGTGAGTACCGCCCCTTCGCGGGGGGGGGCCGGCCGCGGACCCTCCTGCCGCTGTGAGGTCCCGGGCTGCCGGTCCGGCTGTGCGGTCGCTCTGCAGGGCTGTGGTGCGCCCTGCCTCCTCTCCCCTCTGCCCCGTTTCTTTTTTTGGCATGGGAACCGGCAAGTGGTTGCCCTTGTCGGTTACAACGGTGAAGTCATCTGTCCGCTGGCCTCCATGGGGGCGGGTTCCGTGTGCCCCTCGCCGGTCGATCGGCCGGGGAAGAGCATCTCCCGGTGCTCCCGGGGCGCGGGGGGCTCGCTTTGCCCACCTCCCGGTGTCCCCAGGGCTCGCTCCAGGGGACTCGGCGCGCCCCGGCTCGCGTTTGCCGGCTGAGGCCGGGCCGTAGGAGCGCCGCGCCCCCTGCCCCCTCCACTCGAAGCGCCGAGCTTTGATTTCCTCCTTAAAGCCATTGTGTCCCGCCGTGTGAGGAGAATGGTGGCTTTTCCTTTTATCCCTCCTCTGGACGTGACCCTTAGCCGGGGTCATTTCCTCTGAAGTGATGCTCCATTTCCAGACCCGAGGAGGCGAAGGTTGCCTGTGGTCTCCGCCGACTGCCCCTCCCCCTGCCTCCCCCAAACTTCTGGAGAGGCAGCGAGGGTTGACACGCGGCCAGGCTCCAAGGTCCGTGTGACAGCCCCGCTTTCATCTCAGCCGGGCCTGTCTTCCCATCCTTCACACGTTAGGAAGTAAACGCGAGGACCCGGGTGTCCGCTGAGCTCTCTGAGCCGCCTAGACAGAAGAGACCCCATCCAGTCTCCGAAGCACAGGGGACAGCGGACAGCAGGGCTGCATCTGATTTGCAAATCAGGCATTTAAAGGAGCATTTAGCATGCTCAAAGCATTAATTTTAACAATTAAAACAGGCTGTTGGTTGCTGCCCTAGACTGCGCTTTGGTCTCTGAAGTGCCTTTTATTTCGCTGTTGGAGAGGACTGGGGCTTGTGGTAACGTCGGCCTCGGGCTCCTGTTCCTGGGTCTCCAGCAGAGAGGTGCTCTTTACAGTGAGTGGGGCTGGGCTCAGGCTGGGGAGAGGGGGAAAGTGACCAGGCAGGGGATTCATCCGTTTCTGGCATCTGGCTTGGCAAGCATCTTCCACCGCCATCGCCAGAGCACTCCTTTCAGAGGGCTTGGGGCAGTGGGTCGCCCTACTCCAAGCCAGCCTGCTTCCCCGCCTCTTCTCCAGGGCTGCAGGCTGGGCTAGGGTCCTTGTCTCTCGTCCTCATTGAGGTTGGCACTGCTTTCAACAGATGCCATTCTCTGCTCTGGGACCCAGGCAGTGCCTTTCCAGTTCTGGATTTTAGAGAAAACATCAAATTTTGCCTTTGATCAACGATGCCCAAGATTACAAATGCAAGACACATCGGCCACAAAGCAGGTTGTCGCTAACGGGGTCCGGGGCCTCCTGTGGGCAGCATGGGAAGGCGGTTACATGTTGGGGGCTCGGAAACTCTGGGACTTGTTTAAAGCCCAGGTCGGCCACTAACGAGTTGAGCAAGGTCTTTAAACCTCCACGAGCCTCAGTTTCCTCATCTTAAAAATGAGTCTTATAATAGTGTGTACTTCCTAGGGTAGTGGGGAACATTAAATAAGATCACCCATGAGAGCGCTTGGCCCAGATCCTGGCACATAGCAAGTACCCATTAAATGGTAACTTACTGTTGGTGAGATTCTGACGAAGAAAGCATTTTTGAAAAGCAGCTATTAATGGTCTGGCAAAAAGAAAGACCCCGAGTTTTAAGACTGATAATAATGTGTATGCTATGTGGAAAATACAAAAGGAGTCCTGTCTAGTTCCCTGGAAATGGTCATTTCCTCCCCTTTTTACAGACAAAGTGTTTCCTGGGACAGCTCTGCTTCCCCTCTGAGAATCGATGACATGATGTTTGGGGCAGGGAGTGATGTCACTGAGCAGATGCTACCACACAGAGTCCTCACTGAGGTTCTGGAACACGACGAGAAAAGAGAGTGTTGTATGTGGTGGGATTGTGGGGCTGGCGGGGACTCGGCTGGCTCAACCCTTTCCTTTCTAGACCAGGAGACTAAGAACCAGATGGGTGACTTGCAGTGCAGCTTGTCACAGACGGCTCTAACTAGCCTTTTGCGTGTGGTGTGGTTTTCTCATGAAAGGTACCCAAAGGCCAGTTGGGGCTGGCTAGGAAGACACACAGCTAGTGATGGAGAGATTGTGACTCTTTGGGGCCATTCATGCCAACACAGGCATGTCCAGTGAGGGTCCCCTCCCCTGGGTCCTGGTGCAGTGCACACCACACTCGGGAAGGTCAAGCGTTTGGAGTAAGGCACTGTGGTGTGGTGAGCTGGCAGGACCGGCTGCACCCAAGTCACGGATGTTTGGAGCCCACTACACTGGAGAAGCCTGCCTCCCTCCAGCCTCCCCTCCACTGCTGCGAACGCTGAGGCTGTGGTTTGGTAAATTGCAGAGCAGGGATGTTTTATGGGATGTGCATGTTAGCCAGAGCGCGCTGATGAGAGAGGCCTGGGGCCCAAGCAGAGGAGCGGCACTGGCTGCAGAGCACTGGGAACAGATGCAGGGGTTCTCTCAGGACATCCTGCCAAAGCCTTGCTCGTCCCCACGGGGAGCCAGAACTGCCAGGATGCCAGGGGTCCTGTGCTCAGGGCCTGTTTGTCAAAGGCACACAAGTCGCCTCCATCGCTGACATGGTGCTGCCAGCCCTTGGCTTCCTTTCTCTCTGCCAGTCCCTGCCTGGGGTGGGGCTGGGACGGTCCAGCAGCTGCTGCCTTGGTCAGGCTCTCTGGCACGGAGCTGGCCTCCTCTCCTGGCTAGCATGAGCTGTCCCTAGGGACCTCAGGTAAGCCAGCTCTGATCTCAGACCAGTTGTCTTTAAGGCAGTCCTTCTAATCCCGTATGCAAACAGCAGATTCTTCCCTTTGGAAGTTTTCTGCTGTGGGTGCAAGTTCAGGTCCACGTAATTCTTTGTGCTCATGGGTGTAGGTATGCAGCAAGCCATATGGTGCTGGAGAGAAGCACATTTATCTAAAACAAACAAGACGTTATGTCTATTTGGATTTAGCAGGTGTCATGCTTTTACAGTCGTTTCCTTTCCTGTATTTTTTTTTTCCAGAAAATACCAGTCATGAATGTTCTGATCCTCCACGGGACTCTTTAGGAAGTGCAAGTAATAGCCATGGTGTCTAACACCTAACACACACGTTCTCATGGGATCCCTGTAGTTCATCAGATGTACCCTAGAGTGGGGGAGATTTTTGAGTCCTTTTCACAGATACGTTAATGGGTGCTTGGAGGGGCTAACCAAATTTCTTGGCACCAGTGAGCACAGGGAGATCTGGGTAAATGCAGGTCAGTTTGCCTGCGAAGGGGGATAGACCCCTACAACAAGGCCCTTCTCCCCAGTTGGCGTCAGGGTGGGAGGCCAGGCTCAGGCCTGTGTGACAGCAGGACGCCCACCCTCTGCCGCCCAGGTGAGTGACAGGCGGGGTGGGTCCTCGGGGAGCAGGAGGAGCAGAGTGAGTCCAGGATGCTGTCTGTTCCAGTGACATGTGGGGTGACGAACGAAGGGTGGGCCCCGTGGATAATGCATTCTCCCTGTGTTTAGATCATCACAGATCTTGGTCTTGGTCCTGGGAGCTACATTTTTAGGAACTGGCCCCAAATTTATTCCTTTCTCTGCTCTTTATTTTTGCTTCCTAAGCCCTTAGACTGTCACGGGACTGAGGGTGTGCAGCTGCAGCCTGGGGAGGGTTTTCCTCGGGGCCCTTGCGCTAGGGAAGGAGTGGTATTGGGCAGGTCAGGGTTTGAGTCCTGCCTCCGGCACTTGCTAACTGCGCGGCCTTGGGCCCGTCACCCTGGGGTTCGGTTTCCTCACCTGTACCCTCACAGGGCTTTTAGGAAGTTGGTCTAAGATAATTTGGGGGAAAGCTTCTACCTCGCCCCCGGCCCCCATCGTGGGCACTGACAGTGTGCTGGTTTCCATTTGGAGTTCCCCCGCACCACAACCCTGGGACCTGAGGAGTGAACCTGAGAGCGAAGCAGCTGTTCACAGTCCGATGGGAAATTGGGCTACTTGCCTTGTGGAAAACACCCAGCACACGAGGAGCAGATAAACATGGAGCAGCTGTTCAGACCTGGAGGGCTGAGCTTTGGGACCTCTGATGGCTTCCTGATGCGCGGAGAGGAAGAAGGCAGGAAGGTGGGCTGGGTGGGAGGCGAGGGTGTGCCAGGTAAGGGCGAGGCCAGCGCTGTGGTCAGTTAGCACGCCTGCCTGCCCCTCCCCACCTCACACAGGCACTTGGAGGGGAACTGTTTCTTCCTTGGGGAGGGAAGTGATGTAGGGCTGATTCACAGACTGACGGGGCTCCTTGCTCATGGAACAACCAACCACATCCTCCCAGACGGTTGGAGCAGGGAGCGCGGCCAGCCATTTATCGTGGGGTTGTTCAGAGCTGTGTGAGGGTTTTGGGGGGCAGATGAGGGTTGGAATCGCTGTGTGTGGTGGCAGGCAGAGGGGAAGGAAAGGAAAAATAAACCTACTTGATGTCAGAGGAGCCTGGGTCTAGCTCCAAAAATATAAGCACCAGCTGCTCATTTTCCAAAGACACACTCGGGGGCCAGCTGAGTTAACAGGCGCGGAGGGCTGTGCCCTGGGGGTGCACTGGGGGTGCTTCCCACTTGGGTTGGTACGGCAGCTCCCTGGAGATTGCCTTCTAATTTCCTCTCTCTGAGTCACTATTGGCTAGAAAAGGTCTAACGGACAGCTCTGTTCCCTTTTAAATCCTAATTAAATAAAATAAAACAAACAATAGAGTTCTACACACGGTAGTTACAGTTACTCCTGTTGAGTTCTAAGAACACGGGGTTGGGAGAAGAAGGACAAGGGGTGTGTGTGGGAAATGAGGTGGAGAGCCTGGCTTTGGAAGTAGGTTCTGAGCAGGGGCCAGAGGTGTTCTCTGCCATGGCAGTTGCCAAAAATAACGGATGCTCCCATAGTGCGGTCCGTGCTCCGGCAGGCGGGGTCCCGGAGAGGACAGTCGCTTCCTGCCTGGCTGGCTTCTGCTGCTCCTTGGGGCATCCGTGGTAGGCAGGTGGGTGCGTGGGAGGTGAGGGACCGGGGCCTGAGGGTGGGCCGTGGGAAGGCCCCTTCCTGCCCCAGGTGACCTCTAAGCACGTTGCCACATCAGCAGTGGGGTCCGAGCCCTTGCTGTGTGCACGGAGTCCTGCCAGCACATCAGTGCACGGGGCAAGGGGAAGAACTCGCACGGTGCCTGCTGCGTGCTGGGCCTCGAAGGAGGTGCCTGTCGAGGGCATTGCATTTGAGCTTTGAACACCCACCTGAGGTGGGGAGGGCATTTGGAGCCCATTTTACATACGCGGAGATGGAAGCTTAGCAGATTCATGGGACTTCCAGGGACTCCAGTTCCCAGGCAGAGTTGAGAGTCTCACCCTGGCCTCTGACATTCAAGCTTCGAGCTGCCACTTTCTTTCACTTCAGAGCTAGGTCAGGCAGAACGAAGCAGTGAGTCTGGAGGAGGTGAGGGGGTACCTCTAGGGCTGGGGACACTGCTTTGTCAGGAGCACAAGCTCTGGTGTCCTCAGAGTCCTGCTTTGGTCAGGCTCCCTGGCCATGTACTGCCACCTGCCCCAGGGGAGTTAGTTACTTAGGACTCTCAGCCACAGTTTCCTCATCTGTAAAAAGCGAAAACTTGGGGAGGGGGTCCAGGACCTGGCTCATAGGGTTATGGTGCAGACACTCGAGCTCCTCCGTGTGAGTGCTCAGACCAGAGCCTGGCCCCTCCTGAGTGCAAGTGTTCACCGCAGTAATTCCTGAGTCCCAGCGCTGCTCAGAGCAGGGAGAGTGCTCTGTGGGCTGCAGTTTCCAGGGAAAGGTGGCTGGCTGGCCTATGGGCTTCCCTATGGCTTCCCTATGGGCCTGGAGGAGGAGTGGTTAGGACTGGCTGGGGAAGAGGGGGACTGAGGTGAGAAAACCAGAAGAGGGCATGAAGGGAGAAGCAAAGTGCGGGAGGTGGGACGTGCCAGGGAAACCCAGGCAGAACCTAGGGTGAAGGTGGGGAGGGCGAGGCTTCAGAACGCAGCCAGGGGAATTTGTTTGGCTTTTTTTTTTTTCCGGTACCAGGAACCGAACTCACGACCTTGCGCTTGCCAGGCAGGCGCTTTGCCGCTGAGCTAAATCCCCAGCCCAGCCAGGGGAATTTGGAGTTTGCTGAGTGGCGGCCTGGAGCCTTCCTCTCCTCCGTGGTGGGGGTGGGGAGGGCGCAGCGTGTCAGTACAGGATCCTTCTGCGGCTCCGGAACTGGCTCCAGGTGGCCCTGGCCTGGGTGGCTGGGACAGGGCTAGTTAAGGACTGGAGCCTTTTTTCTGGTCCTGCTCTGGGGACTCCTGAGTTAGCCAGCCCCAGCCCCTCCTCTGTGGCTCCTTCTCCTAGGGCTCAGGCTGCCCATGAAAGCTGTTTGCACCTGGGCTCCTTGGAGGTGGGGTGCTGCGGAGCAGGGGGAGCAGCGGGAAGGAGGTGTTGGTGGCTTTGGGGGCTCCACAGCGGAGGCCATGACTGGCTGCTGAGACAGAGCAGTTTCTACCCACAGCGCCTGGCGGCGTGAGAAAGGCACTGCCCGTCCTCACAGGGCAGGGGGCTTGGTGGGAGGGCTCTGAGGTCTCAGCCTCATCTGAAACATCCACGCTAATGTGGCCCTTAACTCCAGGATCTCCGAACTCATGTTGGTTTCCACTCCAACACCACGAACGGGCTTGTCATTCCTTTATTAACTCCCACCACTGGTAGATACTCTAGCAAACCTGATTCTGTAAGGACAGTATCATTGCAAAGATAACAGCTGACACCTCAGAGGCTCTCTACGTGCTAAGAGTTCCCCATGGGCATTCCCAACTGCCCCACAAAGGGGAAGCTCCTGCCCGCATCCACGTGGGACAGGTGAGGACGTGCTGGCGTAGAGCCCCTGGATGAGTCCTCAGCCACATGTGCAGAACCAAGGCAGGCCAACAGCTCCACCCACAGCTGGCGCTACCCCCAGAGGCCCCATGACAGGGGAAACTGGGCCGCGGGGAGGTTCAGCCCGAGGCCTGGCCGGTTGGCTTCTCAAGCTACATGAGATCTTCCACATGGCCCCTTTCCCCTTCTAGAACTCCAGTTGCCTATCTAGAAGAGGGGTGACTGCTTCCTTCAGGGCCTGCACTCAGCTGCAGAAAGTAAACATGTGAGGGCCCCCGATTCCCCAAACTTTTGTGAAGCCCCTGGGGTGGGGGATGCTTTCGAGCTCGTCTGTACCTTGGGAATTTCTCAAAATAGCTCACCCGCCCTGCTGGAATGTGCTCCTGGGTCAGCCCCAGGGAGCAGCAGGGCCACAGGTTCTTCACCACCACTAGGCCCTCAGCGAAGGCGTCTTCCAGTATAGCACCCCTGGGAGGACACT